CACGACGCTGGGCCCGATAAACCTTTGGAGGACCGAGAAGCCGTGGGAGATTGGGCTGCCCGCCGGCCCAATGCCGAAGAGATTGATGGGCCTCTTGTCGCTTTCAATCTCTTCCTCTGCAATTTTCCCTCCGAACGAACAATGTGTTGGTCCTTTCTTTCTGCAAACGCGGCAGTGGAATCATTACCATTGTTCAATAAATACTATATCTCTTAAAAAAATATATTGATTTATATATTATTTTAAATAGCTTTTTAACTTTATAGCCCTGAATATATTTTAATATCTTTATTTTTAAAAAAATTTAATATTTGATCGTACTGAATAATTAATATATATGACATGCGGAGCAGTGGATCACTATTTATATACAGACGGATGAGCTCGTGGATACGTGTTGGATACGCAGTGTGGGACTATTTTTTTTATTTTTTATTTCAACCTCGTTCGTCGTTGCAGTCATGGAAAAGAAGGTCATAGTCAATGGTCCGTCGTCCTCTATTTAAATGCAAGCGCGTGCTCTCTAACCCAGCAATGGCAGTTCAAGCTGAGCCTATGTCCAACGCTGCGCCCGCTGACTTCCAATCCAGGTGAGCAGGGGGTTTTCAATCTCATGGTTTCTTTCTCTGTTACATCTTCCTTCTTTCAATCTAGCTTACAGTTGGGATCGTTCAGGGTTGAGATGGCTGGTGGTGTTCTTGAAGGTGTGCGGAGGCTGCAGAGGCATGATGATCAGATCCGCAGTTTCTTTAATGCTGCCGGAGATGAAACGAAGGCGGTGGCAGGCGCCTTTATCAATCCCGCGGTGTTGAGCGATCTTCCTCAGAGCGATCTTACATGCAATGTCTCGAGATTCTCCCGTAAGAGAAGGATGGATGAGACTATGATCGCCGCTGCGGCACCGATCTATGAACGGATATGCTTTCGGAATGCTGCTGCGGCGGAATCGGTTAGGGCAGATGCTTTGGCTTCGGCAGCCGGTTTTCAGGTTGCTAGTGGGTTTAGTTTCGCCGGGATTGAATCCGCTGCAGCTTCTACAAGTGGAGTTTCATCTTCTTATTTGTACTCCGGATCCGATGTAAATCCTGAGCTTCTTGCTTTGTTGTATCAGCAGGGCAACGAAATCGATGATCTCTTACGCTGCCAGGTAAGGATCTACCCTTCCGAAAGCGCAGTTGATTTGCAATCGATTCTTTGCTGATTTATCTGTTGGTTTGTTCAGAGCGAGATGATTCGTTTGGGGATGGAGGAGTTGCGAAAGAAATATTGCCGGGAAGTTCTCTTCTCTCTAGGCCAGCGCGCCATCAATCGCCTCCGCGAAAAGGAAATCGAGCTAGAAAACCTGAAACAGAAGAATGCCGACCTGGAGGAGAGAGCCCGGAAGATAAGCGGCGAGAGCCTGATCTGGTTTAATCTCGCCAAGAACAATGAGGCGGTTGTTTCTAGCCTCAAAACCAGCCTCGAACAGGCCATGATCCAAAACTCCACAGCATCGCCGACAAAAGAAGGATACGGCGACAGCGATTGCTCCCCTTTCCCCGCCGACGATGCTCGGTCCTGCTGCTTCGAAACCGCCTTGTCTTCCCCGCCGGCGCATGAAGAACTCCGGCGACGGATGGTCTGTCAGGTCTGCCGCGAGAAAAATGTATGCGTTCTGGTGCTCCCATGTAAGCATCTTTGCCTCTGCAAGTCGTGCGATGCTGGTGCTGACACGTGTCCCACATGTCGCTCTCACAAGAATGCGACCTTACAAATCTTCATGTCCTGATTTGGCCTTTTGCCACAACGTGCAGCGGTCTCCCTTTTTGGTTAAATCATGGTTATAATAATAATAATATTATTATTATTATTTATATCCTTGACCTTAATATCTTTTTTGATATAAAATGGATATTTACATGGGAGCCCTTTTAGGGTTGAACGAGAAAATTACAGTTTGAATGGGTGTGTGAAATTGGCAATTTTGGGTGTTTGACTTGAAAGTAGAAAGGTTTAAAGTGGAAAAGGAAAAGATGCCTGCTTCGCTTACACGTTACGTTCTTTTGGCTTTTACTCTCTTCCATCCCATGGCTAAGAATGTAATTAACTTAATTTTATTAAATTAAGGGAGAGTGTGTCACGGACAAATAGTCCCATATTCACTAGGTGTAAGGCCGAAAAGTAGTATTTAAGTTCTGGACTGCCTACCACCATAAGGGCTCTTTTGTGAGGTGACAAGTGATATCAGAGCAGATTACTGCCTGCCAGGTGTGTGGACTCTCCATAGTCCAGTGGGACCATCGGTGGAGCCGATCCTTGATTAGGGCGTCACGTGATTGGGTGGAGGAGATTGTCATGGACAAATAGTCCCACATCGGCTAGGTGTAGGGCCGAAAAGCAGTATTTAAGTCCTGGGTTGCCCGCCTCCCTTAAGGGCTCTTTTGGGAGGTGACACATGGCTTTTTCAAAAGTCACCCTGACTGTTTGAGTAAACTACGTTTTGACAGCTTACTGAAAACTCGGTTTTAACACCGCACAGATTTAATTTTATCCAAAAAAAAATAAAAATAAAAATTTATAATAGTCACCACATCAAGCTTATTTAAATATTATTTTTAATCAGATTAAGCTACCATTGCTCCAACCATACCCTAAATGATAGTTGAGATCGATGTGATGTGGTAAGATATAAAATTAAATCAATGGCACGTTTTGGGCAGCTTATAAGATTTATGCGGTTAGATTTTTATTTTATTGTAAACATAGGCCTCCCTCTCATATGAGGATCAACTGATTATCTGTGTAAACACAAACTGTCTCAAATGCACCTTAAATTATTTTATTTATTTAATTTTTAATTAAAGTGTGAGCTTAATTTAAAGATTATATTAAATTAATTGTTGAAGAATTTGATTAAAGCTAATTAATGTACGATGAGCTCTTGATTTGAATCTTGCGTATTATGTTTGGACCCAAATTAATTAATTGATGGGGGTGTTTATAAATAAAATAAATACCCTTTTGTCGTGGGAGTAATTAATAGTCTAGTACATTAGGCATTTGAAAGTCACAAATATACCATATTTTATTAAAAGAAAAATTAAAAATCTCAATAGGGGGCATCTTGGTGTATACATTTAGCTCATATTTTTTACATGCAAACCACCTTACCTAGGCATTAAAAAATTGTATTTCAATTTTAGATTTCTTAAGCGGGCAACTATCATGTTTAAATATTCTTTGAGCAGCCTAAGTAGGTTCTACTCTAACCAATTGACGACACGACGGGACCAACCTCTTTTTTGAGAGGACAAACTAACTCTCGAAGCGGAGAAATTAGAGCAAAGAGGGGGCAAAATATCAAAATATCCTCCCATATCAATCAAAATCTGAATTTGAAGAGGGGGGGTGTTGGGGGTCAATTGCCCCCACCTCAGCCATGCTCCTACCCTCCTTTGCTTCTCTTTTCCAAGTAAAAAAGAGAAAATCTCTTACCAATCACTCATATACTCTTACAATATCTTTGGTTTGGTGAGCATAAATTTAATAGCACCTATGAGGGAAATATAATCTCATCGACTTAAAAGGTTGTCAAGCATTGATTAAGAAGGGTTACCTAAAGTAAGTGCCCAAAGTGCATATTTCAATATTTGACGAAATTTAAAATATTATAGAAAAAATATACATATATTTTGCAAATATTACAAACCCTCACAAACCTGCAAAAAATTTGCGTACGTCAAGGGGTACGCATCTCTGCGTCATCTCTGCGTACATAATAGTAATAATAGTATACATGGGAGTTACATGAGAGTTACAAGGGGGTTATAACCTGTTGTACCTCCCGTGTAACCTCCTGTGTAAATCCCGTGTAACCCCGCTGAAATAATTATACATGCTTGTAACTCACGTGTACACTATTATGTACGCAGAGATGCGTACCCCTTGACGTACGCAAATTTTTTTCCCACAAACTACAAGTGGCCCCACTTTGCCATGAAAGTATATTTTGAGGAATTAGGACACACACACACACATAGATTGTTGAAATATTTGGGAACTTTATTGTAATTTTTTTAATATTTTTAAATCAAACTATTAGTTATTTTTCAGTTGGTTGTCTAAACTAGCTGAATCAATTATATAATATTTTTTAAATGGAATCAAACTGAATTTTAATTATATTAACATTTCATATTTTAACAGTGGTGTCAAAACTTCATACCACCCAATTCCTCTGTATTTGCATGTCTAACATCTAAACTTCACTTTTACATTTCTACCACCCGAATCACTCATCACATCATAAAAAAAATATCACTATTTTAACTTCAAAAAATAAAATGCTCCTTAACATGCATAGATAAAGGTGGCAAATATGTAAAAATTCAAGTTTTGGGTGTTAAATATGTCAACATGCAGGAATTAAGTGATATGAACGCATGTAAATCTTCCTTCTAAGATATTTCAATACAGCCTCATTACAGTTAATCAAAACCAATCACAACTCGCACAACATCACAATCAAATGCCTCAATTATCTATGTGCATATCTATATAACGACATGTGGATAGATAAATAGATATGTGTGTGTAACAAAATAAAATGAAATAAAATAATATTAGATGTAACTGACAATAACAGCTGAAGCAGACTAAAATAAGAAAAAAATAGGCATAATTAAATTGAGCAGCAACAAATGAGCTAATACATCGACTAAGCTAAACAAACATATACATAACGGTCATGTTGAAATGAACAAAAATAAAATATTTCAATGTTTAACAACCTAACTTAGTCCCCTACTGACAGTTTTTCAAGTGAAAAATGAACCAAAATTGTTCTGCTGATATATGAGATATCATCATGAAAATATCTATGTAATAAAAGACTGGCACCTACTGCTGAATATGAGATATAATGATGAAAATATCTGTACTGTGCCCGAGAAAAAACAAGACAAATAAAGAATCTAATCAGTTCAATAAAAAATAGTTTGCGATCACTTTCCTGCAATTATTTTGCATGCAGGAATCTACAATCAACATCTCATGAGCATACAAAATAAAAAAGCAACTCATTAGCATATAAAAGTCCATTATTCTGATAACTCTCAATCATCTAACACTGTTAAAATATGATACGGTTGGCACATGGTAGAAAAGAGCAGGTATGCATTTTTTCAAAATGTCTAAGAAATTATGTTTAGTGTTTTTTTTACAAATAATTGTTGTTTTGTTAATTTCTTATAACTTTTTTGTTACTTTTTAAAAACTTTCTAGGATAACACAGGGCTTTTTACAACGAAACCAACGAGGAAGTGATAAAAAGTCACTATCCGACCTTAAGAAAATCTACCTTTTATCAATCATAATTAACGAGGCGGCATTATGTAAAAATCTTAGGCACTATGACTAATAAAATGCCTCCACTCGAGCATTTTTCGTCCTCCCATAAGACTCAATTTCAAAATGCCAAATTAAGAGTGCCTCGATAAAGCCTCCACTCACCTTAGAATAACATCTCTTTAGTAGCATGCACTTTGTTTAGGGGTTGTTTGATTTGCTGAAAAAAGAATGCAGTATAAAAGAAAGACAATTTAAAAGTAACATATTCTATTTGAATACTTTGAAGTTTTTTTGTTTCGGTGGAAAATAAAAGCCAGGCTTCGCGTTCTTTTATTTGATTTGAAGAAAAATGAAATCAATTACATGGTTCTTGGGAGGTGACGAGCAGCGGCAGTCAATAAATGTAGACGATTGGCAAGCAGTAGCGGCAAGCAACACTTCACACAAAGTGGTGCATTTGAAATTTACTCAAATCAAATGAATTCTACGTATATTGAAAATGAAGTAAAGAATAAATTCCAAATACATGATACTTTTACACTACATTTAGAATCCATCCCCCATCAAACACCTAAAATTTTAAAACTCCTATAAAAGGAATGCAATAGACTCTTTTGCGGTAAATCAAATAGCCCCTAAATACATAAACAAATAAATAAAACCAAACAGCCCCTAAGTCCTTTCATTTTTCTAACTTTCAATTGCACATACAGTGTAAAATACAGAATAAAAAAATGTAAAAAAGATTAAACCCGTACTTAATTTACTGAATCACATCCTTACATTCATTTATAATTTTCTAATCCTCACTTAACAATGGTGTGAGACATAATGCTGCTTACAAACTATTCTTATTCTTATGGATCTGGCCTTATTTGATTTGTCACGGACATTATAACAAGTTAAACGTACTCATCACAAATCATTTTCAACAAATTCTATCCATATAAGCTGCGGCCTAATCCTTCTCCTTCCAAATGCTCTACAATAAATTTATCTTCTCATTTAATGGATGCATTTTCAGTCTTTTGTGTACAATTTTAAATCACATAAATTTATTTTCAATCACCTTACCTCAATAAATGTCAACCTTAATTATTTGCTAATTTATCCTTTTCATTTTTCTACAGATTCATCTTAATATTTTCATTTTTACAATGCTTAACTTAGATATCAGTATTTCTTACTTTTTTTTGCTGCCCAACATTTAGATCCATGTAAATCATAAGCATAATTGAAACTTTATATTATTACATTTAAGCCTCCATAAAATCCTCTTATCATATCAAACTCCAGCAATTCTACATTTTAACCATCAAGCTTTAAATATTACAAGTCATATCCCTCATTTTTGTCTTCACACTTCTATATAAAAGATCCAGGATGCCTTAATATATCACAACTAAGTATCACAACATTTCCTAATAATATTGAATGATAGTTGTTAATGTCATGCCAACTTAATTAATCATATTAATATAATTCTAGATGATAAAACTCAACAAAAGTGTTGATTAAATAGCTGAAGCAATTTTATAGTTCTACTTTATTTTGATGTTTTTAAATTTCACATTATTTGGAACATGTCGTAATTAGTAATGCTTTTGAGCATTAGGGTTGCTCTTAACTATTGTGATTCCTTGTAATTAGGTCGATCCATGCAAGAAGTTGGTTTGCACTTGAGTCAATTCAATTGTCATCGATTTCAAAGTCAAAGCAACTTGCTAAATCCTCTGGTAATAAGTATCCATTTCTATTATTAGTTCGATAGTCAATCAAATTATATGGAT